CAAGGTTTACATAAAACATCTTGTGTACATAACAGTCTAATTTACCCTGATAATAATTTAACTTTGATTGCATACAAAAACTATATTTTTACTCCCTGCTTTTATATTTCTGATGTCATCATTTACCATCTTTTTTTTATTGTGTATCCATTAACAAATTGTTGAAGCTAGAGCTATTTTTATGCTTTTGTGCTTTAACTATTATTTTAGAGGTAAGTAGTTGGCACATCACCATGTTACAGTATTAGAGTATTCTCAATTTGACTATATGTTACCCTTTACCAGTGTGTGGTACATTTTATGTTTTATTTTAGTAGTTAGCATTCTTTTGTTTCAACTCAAAGACTCATTTCAGCATTTCTTGTAAGGCTGGCTTCATGGTGATCAATTCCCTTAGCTTTTGTTTGTTAGGGAAGGTCTTTATTTCACGTTCATTTCTGAAGAGCAATTTTTGCATGGTAAAATATTCTTGGTCAGCAGTTTCTTTCTTTTAGGATTTTGCATATATTATCCCGTTCTCTCCTGGCTTGTAAGGTCTCTGCTGAGAAATCCACTGATAACCTTACGGAGGTTCCTTTGTATGGGACAATTTTTTCTCTCACCTCTTTTGAATTCTGTTTTTATTTTTGGTTTTAGAGAGTTTAATTAATATGTGTCTTGGATAAGAACATTTTGGATTAGAATTTTGAGATGACTTACTGACTTCCTGAGCTTAGATCTGTCTTTGCCTTTTAAAATCCATTCTTAACAGAGTTATCCAGGAAGATTGGTTTTGCTTATTGCCAGATGCGTAACTACTAGAAATGTACTTGACACCATGTTTAAGAGTGAGTGTTCAAAACTGTATGTGAATGAATGAATGATTACATAAAACCAGGGTGCTGGGAAGTGATCTCTGAGGTCTTATTCAAATCTGCTTATCCATACTCTTGTACAGTTAATAAGCACTTCCTCTTTCTCACTAATGACTTTAAAATGTGTAAAATAAAGCCACTATAGTAGGAAATTAGTCTCAGCTGAACTAATGAACATAATTATAATAGCTGGCTTTTTTAGAAGTCTTTTTAATGTGCTTTAAATGAACTTATTTGTTCCTCACAACAACCTTGTGAGAATAGGTATTGTTATTTTCATTCTCCAGGGGCAGAAATTGAGGAAAAGAGAGGAAGGATTAGCACTTAGCTAGCCCAGGGTCGTATGGCTAGTAATAGCCAGGACTTGAACCCAGAGCTGTAGTTCCTTATTGTAAGTCACTTCCTAGGGAATTCAAAAATGAAAACATTTTTAAGTCGGTGATACATAATACTTAAAAGATAACTCCCTTCTATTTTAATATACTGCACCCTAAAATAGTTTATTCAAATTTGAAAGATGGATATTGTAAACAATAATTCCATGAACTATATCTGTTAGTATGTGACACTGTAAGTAAAGGAAATAAAAATATAATATTGGTTGATTTTTTTTTCCCTTTGCTTTTAACTCTCAAATGGTTTGGACATTTTATTGGTCTTTGATATGTATTTGATATGTCAAGAACTGTGACGTCATTCCAACTACTGGAGTTTTCACATAATCTCTAGGGGATTAACTGATCTGAAAATCAGTTTGAGGCTTTATGAGATCACAGGACAGAGGATTATTTCCTTGTTTTGTTTGTCACTGTCTTCTTGTAGCTTTGAGGTCCTAATGCTGCCTCATGATCAAGAGCTCTTATGCTGCTATGTAAATCTGTTTGGTCAAGGGAGGGAATGAGGGGTCCTACCGTGGGGAGAAGGGACAGGGCTGCGGGAGTCAGCAAGATGAGCCCTAAGGTGTGGTCAGTGGACGCCCCTCCTAACATGAAGCAAAGGGCAGGGAGAGGGAAAACAAAAACTGTAAGAACAACTGTTTATTCTAGTTGGTGACTGAAGTTTGACATTCTCACTAGTCCTCACCACATCCCTGTGAGGCATGCATTATTTTATTGATTTTTGCAGATGAAGCCTAACTGGTAAAAGTGCAAGGCTGCGTCCAAAGCCAGGTGCTTTCCGCTACACTGCTGCTCCTACTTCATCGCCGTCCTTAAAGCTCAATCCAGAGCTCCCCATGAGAGAGGGGTTAGGCCACCACAGGCGTCTCAAGTTTCAAGCAACTCCACTCAGATTTCTATTAATGTGACTCTTCTGTGCAAGGAATAAAAGCAAGTGCTCGATGAATATGCCTGTAGATCCTTCATTAAGTGAATTTAAATGATCAGAATTCATTCTTGTGGGAGTAGGGAAAGATGTGGCGTATCTCTCTGTAACTTACGAGATTTTACCCATCACCTGAGTAGAAATCTCATTTGTTTGAATTAAGAATTGATTAGAGAGGAAAATGACAAGTTGAGTCAAGAAATTCCTTTTGAAACAGCATAAAAGGAAGCCCCCTAAAGAAAGCATATTCGTCCAGTGTATGTGCGAGGAAGAGTGGCTCCTTTCAAGAAGGAATCCTGGACATTTGTGAGAAACTGCCTGATAGGAGAGGGAAATGCAGGCAGGTGGCCTCAGAAATATGGTAACAAAAGTACCTTTATTCTTAGAAACTGAAGAGTGCTGGTAAAACTGAAATAATCTATAATTGCAGTTAATTCTTTTCTAGGCATCTTTTGTGAATGTTTTTTCACCACTCTAACAACTAGAGAGTGTGTTTCTCAGGAGAGGGAGGAAGGGAGGGAGGGAGAGACAGAGGGAAGGAGGAAGTGTCCCAACTCCTTACTGCAAAGCTGAGTGACTGAAGTTTGTGAGCAAAGGTCTTCGTGGGACCAGCACTCTCCCCTCGCGTTCATTTTGGAAAGAAAAGACCCTCCCCTAGCCTTCTTCTTCCTCTTTTTGTTTTGTTTTGTTTTGTTTTTGGATACTCACCTCCAGGTGGCCTTTAAAAAAAAAAGATTAAATTCACAGCAGCCTGAGGAGTGAGTGCCTTGATGAATAAGGCCTTTCTCACTGAATCTGGTTCTCACACAGCTGCTCTGAGTACAGAGTGGGAGGATCAGGCAGGAGTCAAAGCGGAGTTAGAATTACCCAAAGCAGGAGGGCTTTTATGATAAACCCAACGGGAGAGACTGAGGAAAGGTGCAAGTGGTCCTGGGTGACAGGGCAGCTGTGTGCACGTCTGCTTGCCTGAAAAGGTTCATTCTTGGCATCTATTTCCAGAGGAGGCAAGGGGCCAATAAAGCTTTGTGATGCAGGCTCATCTGTCATTGCCAGCTGTCTCCCGCGTTCAAGTCCACCTGCACTCACGAGCAGCAGTGCGTCACTTACAGCGCGCTGGCATCACCAGCCTCCGCCGGTGGGGTCAGTCAGGACTGCCCCTGGAGGGAAAAGCTTTCGCGCTCACAGAACTTTAAATTCCCCTTGCTCTGGGCACTGGAGACTAGCAAATGTGGAGAGTCAGAGGCTCCCAAGTTTCAGCCGGAGGATGGATCATGAAACGAGGGTTGACAATATTCCTAAAGGGTTGAAATTTAAAAAAAAATCAAATCATTGGATCACTGCTTTTAAAATGGTGATGTTGCTTCTCTTCATATCCTGGCTTTGAGTAGGGTGCTGGAGGAATCACCTGGTCAGTGATGCAAAGGTTATTAAACGGCAGTCATTTCCCGGGCTTAGAAATGACTATTTGGCCCAGGCTGAACAGAGAAGAAATCATGGGAAAGGGAAGTCCCTTACTTCACGCGTAGTGAAAATGATTCTCTACCAATTTGGGAAGGGGTGGGGGTGGGGGTTGGAAGACCCACCATAACTAGAACTAGTCACTGTGTTTAAATCTTGTGTTTCTAAAAGTGTTTCAGCAGGAGTGCATGGTGCTGTGTGAGGGGTGGTTCACATGACAGGGGAAGGGGCGGAGATAGGGACAATATAACTTCAAGCTCTCTGAAGCCATGTGGGATGGATGAGGACATGCACATTCTTCTGGTGCCTCCCCAGCCACCTCTTCCCATTCCTCTTGCCTAATGCTGCCTCCTTTCGGATAGGCAGTGAGAGGGAGTCTTCCTTGGAGAGTGGACATGAAGAGGAAGATAAGAATCTGAGAACAGGGCTGGCCTTAGACCAAAGCAATATGAACTCAACCCCAGTGTCCCTGTTGTCGTCAACAGCCCTCAGACTATACATCAGGAGGGCCGGTCAGCCTAAGGTCAGCAGAAGTGCTGTGACTCCATTCCTGACTTACGCTGGCTCCATACTCAAAGTGAATAGGTTAAAAATTAAACTTGAAAAATAAGTCAGTTGACTGACTAAACTATTCAACCAGAGAAATATCTTGGCCTTAATTATTTGGATGTTACCTTAGATATTGAGAATTGAGAATAACCATCTAATTAAATGAAGAAGTATGTATGTGTATATATATATATACACACACACACATACACACACATACATACATACACACATATACATACACACAGAGAATAACCATCTAATTAGATGAAGAAGTTGTGGTGTACACACACACACACACACACACACAAGAATATTACTCAGCCATAGTCTAAGTGAAGTAAGACAGAAAGAAAAATACCATAGGATATCACTTATATGTGGACTCTAAAAAAATAACACAAATGAACTTACAAAACAGAAACAGACTTGCAAACATAGAAAGCAAACTTATGTTTACCCAAGGGGAAAGGGTGGGTAAGGCTAAATTAGGAGTTTGGGATTAGCAGATACAAACTACTGTATATAAAATAGATGAACAACAAGGTCCTGCTGTATAGCACAGAGAACTATATTCAGTATCTTGTAATAACCTATAATGAAAAAGAATATAGATATATGTATAACTGAATCAGTTTGCTGTTCACCAGAAACTGACACAACATTGTAAGTCAACTAAACTTCAATAAAAAAAAAGGTCAAGAATAACCATCTAAAAAGTATCTTTAAAAAGCAATCTCTTCATTCCCTTTTGCCTCACTGAGGCAGCAGTAATTCAGGCAGTAAACAGAAATTTCAACAGGACAATACTTAGAGTGCATTAAATAAATATAAATTTTATTAAAAACACTCACATAGCGTTATCAGGAATGATATAATAATAAACGCTTTCAAATAACCGGCATTCATAACATTACAATACTTACAGTATTTATAACCATCCGATTTTTATAGACAAATCAAACATCTGATGAAAATGAAATGAAACTAAGTTTTTTAAAAAAAAAAGCATAGAAAAATGCACACAGAGTTCATTATCTTAGTGTCAAACTGCAAAAGTTTCCTACACAAGTTAACCACTAGCTTTAGAAGTGAGCTGTACACCACTGTGCGTCAATCAAGATGAAAAATTCATTCAAGTAAAGTTGACACCACTCAGAAGCATTTTCAAGTATGGCTATATAGTCAACCTGATATTCCTATATAAGCAAATTGGAGATCTGCTTTCCATTCATTCTAACTGAGGCAGGTTTGATATTTACAGTTATAGATCTGATATTTACAATATGCCACTCAACTTCCTCTCCTCCTCCCTACCTAACCTCTCCTCAACCTCCCCCAAACTATATTTCCTGCTCTTGTTGGCCAGCAGTTTGACAGATGACAGTGGATGATACAGAAACCAAATATCCATTCATATAGGGTGGCTGACTCAAAACCGACTAATGTGCATGTAGTAACCAAATATTTGGGGTTAGATATATGGCATAGGCAAAATATTAAAATCATGCAGTTTGACATATTCAAAGCAAACATTTTTGAAATGTTTGTAAACTGGTCACAGCCAAAAATGGGAGGATTTTTTAAGACAAAAGCCATGTTATAAAGATCTGACCAATAAAACTCAAAGTCCTGCTTTGATTAAGGATTTATTTGAAAGATTAGTAAGCAGAAATGAACCTAGACCAAGATGTAGCTGTACAGTCGATTGCACACCATACCCCTAAGTGTTCTGCCTGTGTAGGGAAGTCCTCGTGGATCTGTACCTGTACTGATTACAGGATCAAGACATCTTTATTTAGAGAGTTGAAGACTCTAGCCAACAGCCACTTGCCAAACTCCTGCCTTACAATTTTCCCTTTATCAACTCAGTGCATTCTATTTTCATGTAATTTTTTTCTGCTTGAAACAGTCAAAAGATTCTCCAAACTTTTAAAATGCTTTTCTTTACAATAAAAAGAGCCAACAGATTTACAAAATTAGTTTTAGTTACATCAGGACATATACAAGTAAAATAGGAGGGATTTGAAATAAAAGGGTTAAATCCCTGAAAAAAATATATTTATTAAACCTACAACAATTTTACATAAACACAGGTGACATGTTGGCATAAGGAGAACATGAGCTGAAATATCCCTGAATTTTTAGAACAAAAAAGTTGAAGTTCAAGTTATACTTGCTAAGAAATCAAGTATCGAAAAAAGGTATTTTTTTTTAATAATAATTAAAAAAAAGACTTGGAAAAAAATGATGGTACACAATGCTATAAGCTTTCACTCTCAGTTCAATATCCTATTGCCAAACTAGTGTTGAGGTATATGACAAGTAGGAACATCACTCAAACCTTTAATGAATTCTTAGCTCACATTATGATATATTTGTAGCAGGCTGAGTAGCACCATCATGATGTGAATTCTGCTTCAAATCCATATATATATATATATGTATATATTTAATTTCTTTTTACAGTACTAAAATACTAAAGCATTGCGTTAAAAAAGTTTTGTTTACAATTTAATTTACTTACTATACATCTCTTTCACTTCTTTATACAAATTAATGATTTAAAACCACCACAGCAAACCAGCTGCCTGTTTTTGTTTTTTTTTTCCTTTTTAATTAACAGATTCACATGGAACTAACCCTGTTTATACTCATCTTACGCAGGCATCAGTCTGCTCAATCTTCCTGGTAACGAGGACACTTAAGCTAAGGAATGACAACATCACAATGTACAATTATCAGCAAAAGGCAGACTGCCATTCAGTTTGCTGAAGAGCACACAGATCTATACAATAGCGCTGGCTTAAGTGAACTAGCTTTGATGAGTCTGTAGCATGCGGTTATTACCTGCTGCTAATAGACAGTTCTTACAACCTACATATTTGAGCAATGAACTTGTCATACAATTTTGTATAAAACTGTTTTACAGTATAGCATGTGAGATGAGCACCAGAAAACATGTTTTGTGGACTAACGTATTCCCTTGAATCCAGTAAGCCCCATTTTTGGATGTAACTGGCTATATTAAAAATGGACACGTTGCTCATCAGCAGATGCATGGCTAAAAGCAAAAATATTTTAAAAGCTTTCCTTGTTTCCTTAAAAAAATCAACTTTGCATCCTAAAATGAAAGTAAACTTTTTTTTTAAACGTCTCAGTACCTTAGCATTGTTCAAGTTGTCAAAGCTTAGGTAGACAAAGTGCTTCTAAAACACCATTTAAAATATTTATACATATACATGTTTGTGCACATATACATATGTGTATATATGTACATATATACGTTTACTGTCCTACAAGGACTTCACTGGATGAGCAAAATCCAGAGGCCTTTAAAATGTCCACATTTTAAAAACTAAGCTCATGTAAGAATAAGTAATTATGATTAAAAACTTGAATGAAAAGGTACCCCCATTATTCAAGGGCATTGGAGTACACTGGTAGCATCTTGATGATACAAAGGCATTAAATTTTCAACTGTTAAAGACACCATTTTCTTAGCACCATTTCTTAGAACATCCAAACAAATTCAGTGTTTCGCTGTCCATTTATGCTTCCTGTAGCTATTTTGATAAATAAAAGTTAATATTAAGATTACAGTAAAAACTGCATGTTAAAAAGCCATGATTCCAGTATTTCAGTATATCATATATTCAGCACCAGATGGTATTTTAAGATTCCTGCCCCTGTAATAATACAGTACTTGTTTGATTTGCTTTCCATGACTATGCAAACTTGGTATTATTAAAAGTGGTCACAGATGTGTAGAGTTGTAAGGGGAGGGGAATCACATTTATGTATCATCTCATCCAATAACAGAACCAGTGTTTAACAATGTAAATTGTGGAACACTTTTTTCTCCACCTTCATTTTGCATAGAATGCTTTGGTCTTTTGCCTAGATTCCATCTGTGACCACTTAGGAGTCAGGGGAAATTAAGTGCTATGGTGAGAGGACCTCTTTTTGCGCTGGTGAGCAGAGGTTCTTCCCCCCACATTTGTCAGGAACACTGTGTCCTTTCCCCACTGCCTGCGTCATGAGAACTACACTACGGATAGGCTGGTTGTGGTCTTTTCAAATGAGGTAACCAACCCGAGGGGCGACATCAAATATATCTGTTGTAAGGCCCTGTGACCCGAGTGAAGGCATATGGAGATGTCGTTACTGTGGAGTCTGTGGTCACGGACATGGTCCTTTCGGCGAGGGACTTGATGAAGCGCAGGTACGTGGGCTCGGAAGGCTCATGCGGCTCAGTGGGCTCCCGCTTCACTTTCTTGCCATGGGTTTTCTGAGGCACGTAGTCTGGGCCGTACTTCTCACACTCTTCCTCTTTCTCGCGGGCCTTCTCGGCCATTTTGGCTTCCCAGAGCGCCAAGCCGTGCTTCGGCTCATTCATGCTCTTGTGCTGGTAGAAGACGAGCGAGATCCTGGTGGGGTGATTCCTGTTGGGGTTCTTCAAGGGGGTGGTGGCGTG